ATTTTATTAGAGTATTTGGTTTTATCTTCTCGAGCTGATCTTTGTGATATAATAGTGAATAATTGCTCTGGAAGTGTAGTGGTTACGAATCAGGCTGTGAACCGCTAGGCCAGCAGTTGGAAACTACCAGCTGTTCCGTGGGAGAAAGATGAAGCTTTCTGCTCCTGTAAAGATTTACAGCCTCGGAAACCCTGTACAGGGTTACTATGGGTCGAAAGCAACTCCATGGCACATAACAACAATTGTTATCAGGACTGACTGTGAGGGTTAGAAATTTTAAGGTAGACAGACGTTTTGTAGCAAAAGGAGGGGAGTGATTGACTTTGCAGTCTAGGAGCTGAGGTTCCTGGGACCACCAAGGGAGAAGAGCAGAGAGCGGGACCCTACCCAGAGAAACAGCACGCCAGAGATGGAGGCAGAGATGATGATGTAGAGAAATGGAGTGGCTGGGGACTTTAGACCCAGAAAGGGACAGGGGCTCTTTGCTGACCACTGGGGGGCAAGCTTGCAGGGTATACCCTTTGGTTGGTTGATGATGCATGGAGGGGATTTAACCATGGCAATGAAACAATATAAGAAAGGATGAATGTAAAGCTAATGTTCTCCCATGTAAACTATCACATAATTCATAATAAAACATTAAAAAAAAATAGAAAATGGAATTTTTCCAGCAACTTTCTGAAGCCCCCTAATATTACTGAAAATTTGTCTGCAGTCATTCACTGATGGCAGAGACCTGTTTTATTTGAAATAAGCCCTTGCACATGTTTTATTTGAAATAAGCCCTTGCACACATGAACTGGAACTCTAATAGCAATACTTCTTAGTTTCCCCTCATAAATGGACAGCCTTTTACCTCGTTGCACAGTTAAGGATGTCAACATTGTGAAACTTGAGAAAGCAGCTCAAAAATTCCCAACTAGACAAAAAAGCCTGTAAATAATGAAGAGCTGAAGGCAAAGGAAGGTACAATCTGAAACTTGAGCTATAAACTGAAGTTTATTAAAACCTAGTACGTTTGGGCTTAGTTATTAGATTCTAGTTCAGAATCATTCATTCACATATCATAATGGACAATTCATTCTTCTGGTGTCTTAAATTCCATATCCATCAAATGCCAATAATGTTCTTTTCCTAATTACTGCGGGTTATTTGTTGTTGTTAAGTGCTGTCCAGTTGGTTCTGACTCACAGTGATGTTGTATAGAGTTTCCAAAGCTGTACATCTTTGCAGGAGCAAAATACCTGCACAGTATTACATTTAAGATCAAACAGATGTGAACAGCTTAAAACACATGGAAGACACAAACCAAGGCCCCGGTGAGCCAAAAATGTAACAAGTTATGCCTGGGAACAGTTAGATATAAAAATCTCCTCCCCAACACCCCCGAGGAACCTTCTTTTAATGGTTCCAATGACTCCTATGTAGGGTCACTATGAGTTGGAACCAACTTAACAACAATGACTCTTATTTACAGTTTGTGCTAAAATTATGTATGCATAAAAAGTATGTCTAACACATCACCGATGGGGAGAAGTGGAGTAAAAGCAGCAATGAAGCGGCAAGCTAAGCCCTACAATGTTCTAGGGACTTCTGTGGACCCAGTTGGGGACCTGGTTGGCAAACATTGTGAAGAGGCCTGGGGTCTCTTGGGCCCAGAGTCAGTGGCGTGGCCACGGAGGACTCGAAGAGAGTGGAGCTACTGGATGACGTGAAGAGAGGACATATGCAAAGGAGCACCCACACCTTCAGATGATACCCACATGACCTGGACCTAATGACTGGATGAT